ATAGAGATGAGAGATAGATAGATAGATAGATAGATAGATAGATAGATAGATAGATAGATAGATAGATAGAATTATATTGTCCTGTTAAAGATGCGCTTTCTGATTTCCCTTGCCAGATACTAATTCAAATAATAATTCCTTTGCAAAGAAGGAAGCAAAGAAAGGGATTAGCAGAAATAGACAATTTGATCAAAAGGGGAAAGGTTTATCCAGTAGAAACTGGGTAAATAGATATATATTTTGAAGGGTGGCCTTTAATGAAAAGACTTGGGGGCCCAGGGATAATTTCTCCTTTATGTGGGTGAGCTATCCAATTTTGACCTACAAGGATTTTTACAGGGAGGGGGCAAGTTCACACAGCAAGTTATTGCCCAAGTTTGTAGCAGTTTGGGCTTCTAGGAATGTGAAAATCCCTTCACTATGATTTTTGAAAGCCAGCTTTGTGACTTAAGAGTGCAGTGGAAATGCAGAGAAATGGGTGGTTTATTGATTATTAAACTATAGTTAAAATAGTGGGAGTGGAGGATGGTGGATGAACTGTGTCATTGAAACGTTTTGTTCTATTATTTTAAAATATATATATTTAAATCCCTGGATTGTTTGGCCATCTCTCTCTCTCTCCATCTCTCTCTCTCTCCCTCCCTCCCTCTCTCCCTCCCTCCCTCTGTCTGTCTGTCTGTCTCTCTTTGTCACTCTTTCTTTCTGTCTGCCTGTCTGTCTGTCTCTCTTTCTCTCTGCCTTCCTCCCTCTCCCCCCTCTGTATTTCTCCCCCTCTCCTTCTCTCTCCCTCTGTCTCCCTCTCTCTGTCTTTCTGTCTCCCCTTTCTCTTTTTCTGTGTCTCCTCTTTCTCTCTCTGTCTCTCTGTCTCCCTCCCTCCTCCTCTCCCTATCTATTTCTCCCCTTCTCCTTCTCTCCCCCTCTGTCTGTCCGTCTGTTTGTCCCTCGCTCTCACTCTTATGCCACTGGTAGGTTCACATGTGCAACTCTTCGCCTAGGTTAAGAAAGCACACCCCCTTCACGACTTAACAGCATGCCCTTGTTCACACAACTTCCCTCCAAACCCTGAACCTCAAATGATTCAAACATCTCCCCCCACCCACTCAAGGGCCATGGAGGAGCCCTGGCCTCGCTTTCTTCAGCCAAGGTTTACTCACCCACTTTTCCAGGATTTACAACCAGGACTAAAAAGCAATCTGGTGAGCTGGGCTGGTGTAATCGTGTGAATGCAGCCAGGTGTCATTTCTCTGCTCAAGCTTCCCCTCGCACATCCTCTGAACTCCCTGGGATTAAGTTTTACCTGGTCAAGGATGGAGTTGAGACACAGAGGAAAAGAAATTTAAGGACAGAGGAAGGTGGGAGTGGGGATGTGGGGGGAGAGAGGACCATTGACGCAGAAAAACCCAGAAGCCCAATACATCAAAGGTAGATGATACTCAGTTGTCCCAAAAGGGCTATTATTTTTTTCCTTCAAGAGGTGACTGGATTTTCTGATTTTTCCCCCCCTTGAAGATGTTTTGCTTCTCACCCAAGAAGCTTCCTCCGCTCTGAGAACTGAAGAAGCTTCTTGGATGAGAGGCGAAATGTCTTCAAGGAAAAACCAGTCACCTTTTGAAAGAAAGAAAGAAAAAAAGAAAGAGGAAAGGAAGGAAGGAAAGGAAGGAAAGAAAGAAAGAAGGAAAGGGAAAGGAAGAAAGAAAGAAAAGAAAGAAAGAAAAAGAAAAGGAAGGAAGGAAAGAAAGGGAAAGGAAGGAAGAAAAGAAAGAAAGAAAGAGGGAAGGAAGGAAAGAAAGAAAGAAAGAAAGGAAAGGGAAAGGAAGAAAGAAAGAAAAAGAAAAAGGAAAGGAAGGAAAGAAAGAAAGGGAAAGGAAGACAGAAAGAAAAGAAAGGGAAAGGAAGAAAGAAAAAGGAAAGGAAGGAAGGAAAAAAGGAAAGGAAGGAAGGGAAAGAAAGAAAAAGAAAGGAAGAGGAAAAGGAAGGAAAGGAAGGAAAGAAAGAAAGAAGGAAAGGGAAAGGAAGAAAGAAAGAAAAGAAAGAAAGAAAAAGAAAAGGAAGGAAGGAAAGAAAGGGAAAGGAAGGAAGAAAAGAAAGAAAGAAAGAGGGAAGGAAGGAAAGAAAGAAAGAAAGAAAGGAAAGGGAAAGGAAGAAAGA